AATTTCCTGCAAAAAAAAAATAACAAATAAATTCAATGCGCTCATCTCTTAAAGTAATTCCCAATAATTCTTTAGGACAACTACCTTTTTCTGGATAATGATAATAATGAATGATTGAAATTGATTTACAATAAAATTCTGAAAAAAAAAACAGGCTGTCTTCGCTGCCATTCTGGCCGTCGCTGTTGCTGCTCCAGGAGGTCTCACTGGTCTCGTCCTCAACCATGGACTTGGACACATCCATGCACCCCAGGTGATTGCTCATGCACCAGTGCAGCATGTTGCCCACGTTGTTGCCCAGCCCGTTTCTCCAGTTGTCCACAACACCCCAATTGTCACCAGGACTGTCCTCTCCGGCCACGGACACGGAGCAGCAATCGTTGGCTACGGACTCCACTAAACAACCATCAAGCACACCAATCAGTCATCTAATCCCCCAATCACGCGGTCAATGCTTCTCTAACTGAGGACAACGGCAGAGAGATAACGATATCATTGGATCAACACCCCCTCGACGAAATCGTTGAATTTAAATTTAATATCCATTGGATAATGTGAGATAAATTGTACGGCCTCAAGATCATTCTATTGAATTCTATGACTTTTCTGGATATCTCAGTCATGTCTTTTTATTAAATTTCTATCCATTTCCCTTATTATTCACTTTTATTCGTCTAGCTCCGGTAAATTTATCCGGAATTTATCAATCGCTCGAGAAATTTGTGGAGAACCATCGAATACCTGCACTTCATCTAAAAATTCATCTGAATTTCTCATTGGCCTTGAAAATCCAAGAAAATCGGGGTTTTCATTGTAAATGATAAATGCTTTTTCACCGAACGCTTGAATTCCATCGGATTTTACAGAGACTTCAGTCCCTTTGTTAAAAATTTCAATTTTTTCACTGGAAATTTAAAATCAAATTTTCCAACAGTGTAAAATCATCTTCTAGAGGATTATCCCACGAAAAAATATCGGGACATCCTTTCCTCGTGTAATTGCTGGAGAGCATAATTCCCGGAGTGAAGAAAATCAAATTAAAATCCTTAACGTCAACTACTCCTGGGAATTTCGTATTTTCCGATAAACGCGTCGCGCATATTGAATTACGTGTATCGTATGCTAGTGTCCCAGGGGTTCTGTACCCCTGGGGGATGGGTGGTCCGGGGGGGTCAGGATTTATTGGAATAGTGCAGGCCGTAACCGCCGCGAGACAAACTGGAATTAAAAGAAAAGGAGAGCGACGCTCTTTACGTGATTAAAATGCACGTCTCGACGATTCTCTGGGTTTTTCCACCTCCAGTATTTACCCATGCAATTTTTTTATCTCCCACTCCCATGGAAATTCAACCCTCTCAAGGGCCGATCGATTCGTCGTCCGAGTCGACGTTGTCTTTACCTCATTGTCCTATTCCTCATGAAACTGGGACAGACACGATTCCTCAGGCCCATGGCCCGCCTCCAAACAATTGTCTTCAGCTTATCGATGATTCAAACGATCCAAGGGACTCAACCTACTTTTCTCAATCATTTCTCATGATAAGAAATT